GTCCAGAATGAGCTCAGGACATCGAGAGTTTGGTTCAGAGAAAAGGAGTTAGTGGCATGAGAACCCTGACTGAGCATGCGCAGAAGAAGTTTCACGTGTGTAGTTTGTTTCTGATTGACTTTATCACTGTTTCACTGAGTTGGAGGAATGCTGGGGGGCGCTATTAGTCCCCCCCCCCCCCCACCCAAAGGTTAAACCAGCTGTTTACGTTTACAGCTGAAACAGTTGATGTGCTCGCCACCAGAGGGCGCAAACCGCGGTCTCTGTTTACTCCTCATAGTTCACACAGTCTCATGACACTTATTTAGGCTGATTAAGTAAAACATCCTTTTAGTCCAGGGCGGCTTTCAGGAGATAAGTTCCTGTTTTGTGCCCTTTATCTGCGGCTCTGTCAGTGAAACAGACTCAATGAGTGAAAATGTGAAAGGACGCGCAGCAGACACCACTAAATCCTGCCCTCTGAATCCTCACCCTCAGAGTCCTCAGACAGTTTACAGCCAGTTACTCAGGCAGTGATTTCAGGTTAGATTCCAGCAGTAGTGACAGTCTGTGTTTAGCTCCTGGACTTCAAACCCAGCTGAAGGAGCAGGTCTGTTGTGGTGACACCTCCTCCTCCTTCGTCTCCATGGTTATATCTGGTGCCTGAATTCACAGAGCAGAGGAGACACTGACCATCAGATCAGTCAGAGCTGAACACATAATTCATGATCATAATGTGGACATGCACCAAAACACACCATAACTGTCAGCTTCTAACGGTTTGTTTTTTCTACTCTTTGCTCTATGTCATGTCACAGAGAGACGATATCCTGATACGGTGATGTGACACACTCAGATGCTCTGCATGGAGTGGAAGCAGTAGAGGTGAATCAGCAGGTGTGACTCCTGGTGTCCAGTTAGAATGAGACCATGAGACAGACCCGGGACAGGTTGGAGGGAAGATGTGCTTCAGCCGGAGGAGGTGCTGTCCACAGGACCGCAGTGGACCGAGTAGATGGATGAGAAAATGGATGAGAAAAAGCGAGAGTAATATTAGTATGCATTTGTATTGTTTCAGTCGTTTTAGTGCAAAGACAAATGCATCTGACTCTAAATAAAATCTACATAAAATCACACTGTTGGTCTCAGTTACATATTAACTGAGATCAACAAAAATCAGTAGCGACCCTCAGATACAGCATCCTGCTGTGTTTGTGTCCTCCTGATTACAGCTCACAATTCCACTAATTATAATCTTTTCTGAGTGTTTGCCGAGCTTTCTGATCTTCCTCTGCTTTGTTGTGCAGCTCTCAGTGAACTGAGCTCCTCTGCTTTCAACCAGGGGAGCGTTCAGCTCAGACAGCCAATGAGCTAACGGCTCGAAGCTGGGCGCCTGACCCGATTGGCTCAGCGCTGTGCATTGTTGTCATCCCGACGGGCGATTGGCCGGCCGATGAAGCCCCGCCCCTTTTCTGCCCTCGCTGCTTTCCATCCAGAGCGGAGAAGAAAAACGGGAGAAGAGACGGAAAGCTGCTCGGGGCTTCGGCTGGAGTCAAAGCGGCACCGCGGAGCTGCTTCAGCGGGATTTAGAGACTGGTTCCGCGGGAATAACGGCGACGCTCACCGGCTCACCTTCACGGTACGTCCTCCCGCTCCGCTGCTCTTCCTCGGGCTGAGTTTGAGTGCCAGCCGCTGCTGGTGTCAGATATCAGGGAAGCTGCTCCTCCCGTCTGCTTCCACCGTGGAGCCACTTTCAGGGTGTTGATGTGCAGATACGAGCGCTGTGCACACACTTTGTTCTCTGCGAGACCAGAGACCCTCACGTCTCCAGCCTGTCTCCTCTGGGTGTGAGTCCTGCACGGCACGGGCTGCAGGGTGGTGACCCCTGGACCCCGCAGGGCACAGCTGGGTTTTCTGGAGGTTCACTGTGACCCTGACCGAGCTCTGCAGAAATTAAAAAGGGTGTCCACGAGTGAGGGCTTTACTCCGAGCTGCAGGGGTGGTCTTAGCGGAAAACCCCAGGAGCTGGGACACGAGTGTAAACCCGAGGATCAGTGCACCACCTGTGAGGTTCAATATGTTTATGAAAGGACTGTTCAGGTGTAGTTTGGGATCAGCTTCAGGTCAGACACATGCCTGCACATTCATGTCACAGAGTTATTTCCGGTCATGTGTCTGCTGCTGCTTCATTTTCATGTTAAACAGTAACGTAAAAATCCCTGAGCCCAAAGCTCAGGCTGCTCCAAACACTCTGTCTGTCACACTTTTTTCTACTCCTGGAACTGTGTGATGTCACAGAGAGTGGATAGAAGCTCCACCCACCTGCTGTTTAGTGGTTGTGTTAAAGTGGGAGGAGCTAAAGCAGTGATGGAAGGGTTAGACTGTGGAACTTAAAATGTAACGATTGCTTATCATACTAGCTGTATTATTGAATCATAACACGTGTGTTTACCTGAGAGCCAGAAACCTGTAAAATTATACCTGTGATTAATCAAACTTCAGTGTCTGTTTGCATTAAACCGTTACAGTTACGTTCAATGTTACTACAGTTTAATTGTGCTTTAAATGTAGCCTTTGCAGTGGTGCGTTTACAGCCCTCTGGTAAAACCCAGACTCGCTCACTGCTTAGTTCAGTTCAAGCCAAGATGGCAGAAGGATGGACTTTTGTTTACAGGGTCTATGTGAAGAATTAAAACTCAAAGTTTCAGTAGGTGTAGGTGTATCTGTGTGTCACCTGGTCCACCTGTGGCTTCAGCTCTCCATCCTCCGGATGATTGGTGGTCTTCGTTTTGAGACGAGCTGTACTGAACATTCGAGCAGCTTTTATTTATCTTTGGGTCTCTCTTTAGAAATCAATCATTCAGACCAGCGTACTGTTGCTGTCCTCGTCTGTCTGTGACGGCGTTCAGGTATTGAGGGCTGTCATTGAAGCGGAACCTCGCCGGTGACCGATCCCTGCTCGTGCTTGTGATGTGATGACAGCTGATTGTAGCTGTTAACAGGTTCTCTGGATGTTCACAGTTCTTCTTGGAAGTAATGAGTCAGTGCAAAGCCGTAAAGCTGTGGGAGGTGTAAAAGCTGGCGTCGGCTGTGTTACTATGTGTGACCGAGTTGGACTGCTGGGGTGACTTTATTAGAAAAAATGAGCCTCACCCAGACAGGAAGCCAACACACTCAGATGCCTCAGGAGGGGATTATTGTTATTAGTTTGTACTGTCTGATGACGTGTGCAGCACTTAATCTGGCTGGATTCTGCTCTGAAGGAGGATCACAGATGGAGATGCAGGTTATTTGAAAGAGAATATTAGATGTGAGGGTGTGAAGCATCATGGGATGTCCCTGCCATTCTCGCCCCGAGTGTCATCAGGAGGCGTTTGGAGGTTGCACACAGCAGACGGCGCCATCTGTTCGGCTGCTTCCACCCTCTGCGTTTCCACCTCAGGTGTCGCCTCAGAAGTACTCCTGCGTCTCCGACCTTCCATCCTCCCTTTCAGGCGCTTCGGCTTGTCTCCGGCTCCGAACATAGACTCTGATCCATCCGTCTGTCTCTCTCCCGTAAATACTGTCTCAGAGATCAGAGACAGTGTCTGAACCAGCAGCACATGGCCCTTGTTCTTCCCTTTTGCTTTTTTGTTTCCATGACAACCACACACAGAAATCACCCCTCAGATTGCTCTGTCAGTGTGTGTGCGTGTGCGTGTGTGTGTGTGTGTGTGTGTGTGTGTGTGTGCGTGTGCGTGTTAGCTCTTGATGGCTGGCTCTCTGTCGTGCCTTACGGGGACGCTTAGCTGTAATAGA